ATGCTTGGGGCAAAGACTGAACTGAGAGCTTCCCTAAACCTTCTGACTCGAGGGAACTCGACCCCTTGAGGAAGGGACTTTCATGGGATGTCTTGCATTCTGTGATATGACCGTGGTGAAGCGAGTTTTGTCCCTGCTTTGCGGCCCATGGGAGAGAGACGTTCAGTTGGAGCCAAAGGGCTGAGAGCAGTGAGAGAAGACCCCTTGTATTGTAATGGAGAGAGAAATCTTCCAGCTACGACAAATCCAGCTACAACTGCTGTATTGAAGAGGAGAGACACTGCTGCCCTGAAAGTGGAAAGGGTCTTTCCTTCTTCCCTTCTGAAATTTCATTGGAGGGAAAGGAGGGACTTGATCTAATGTAAATATTGCTTTACCATAGGAAAGATAGTTAGAATTGTGTATATAATGTATTATAGTATATATTTGTGTAATAAATTGTAATTTAACTTCCTTCCCCCCATACTGAGTTGTGTTATGTCTGGAAAAACCTCTCACACTGCAACAAATTGGGGGGGGAGGGGGGCTTGGACTTGGAAATTGGATTTTTGGGGGTCTCAAATCACCACACCATGCCAGCAATACAAGGTGATACTTCTTTCTTTAGGGAAGAAAATTTGTCCAATTATAAAATACAAAAGAAAAGACCAAAGTATTATATTTTCAGTTATTTTCCTGTATTTCTACTTCAGAAAATGCTATTTCCTTGACTCCTTCCCCCAGCATTCCTACAGTTTAAGATTATGAGGAGAAAAGCCAATGCACTGACACAGAACATCTTTATATACAAGAAAGATCCAACTTCCACTAGAAATATAAACACTGATTTTAAAGTTATGGTAGATATAGCCTTGAAAAAGAGTAGGATGAAAAAAAGCATGACAGCAATTGGCTTACTTACAACCCTACTTTAAGGATAACAGTCTCTCAACTGTATTGTCAAGGTTTTGAACACCTCATTCTCATTAATTTTTGCAGCAGTACAACATTCAAAAACATTAAAAGCAGCAGACAGGGAAGGAGGAAGTTAAATGACAGTGATATTATGTGTGTTATTAACATCTCCCTGAAGGCCTAGAAGCCAGCTGCAGTTACTTGGCTGAGGAGATGCAGGCACAGAAGAAACCTCACGAGAAACCATATTGAGAAGGAGGCATGACTTAGCCCATCACACCACTACTTCAACTAATGGAGAACCTGGCTGTACAGTACCATCTACAACTGTTTTAAAGTTTTATTTTCCTCCTTACATACCTTATTCGTACTTGTAAAATCAAGTTGCACTCTTTTTTTTCCAGGACACAGTGGTGGCAGGGAGGTGGTTTGTTTAAACTCTTTTGATAAAAGAGTTATAAAAAGTTTGCACTCCTCATGCTTACTGAAGTTATTTTTTTTCTACATGAACTCATTTGAACTGCAGAAAAAGTCTTTAGGTACCTTTAATAAGACTGTAGGACTCATTAGTCCTACAAAGCAACTGTAGGAAAAGCATTTCATATGGAAAGGGACATCAAGTTATTCAAGTCTGGAAACAACTGTCTCCAGGACATGAAAGCATCTGCGACCAGTAATAGTACTGGCCTTGGAGCAAGAAGCAAGAACTGAAAAGAAAACTTGTATCACTCTCCAGCTCTTCCAGAGGTTTACAGTAAGCACTTGGCACAGAATCAGTAAAGGTAGTGGTGGGTGAAAAATCCCACGGTCTTGAACCGCCTGTGTCTCTGAAGGTTCTTAGTGAACTTGGGGTATTTCCAATCCCAGCTACATCAGTAACTTGTCAGCTGGTGCTTTTCCACGAACCCCTCTCTGCCCTCCACAAAGAATATTTCAAGCTTTTTAACAGAGATAGAGTCACAATAGTAGTATAATGAAAAAAATTCTTCAAATACCCTACCCTAAATATAACGGTAAAGTTTATTTTTTGTGACTTTTGCCTGACATGCCAAGATATTAAGCAAGTGGTCATTTTAGCAAGATCTCATCCTGCAGGATGGTCAACAGCTCAGTGGTATTTTTGCATGACAGAATATCACGTGCTGAGCAACGTGAAACTTCTATTAAAAGGTCAAGAGCTATAGTATACAGATGTACACAAGACTAGAGGCTTCCACTCAGTCTTACTCAGAAACAGTCAGATTCTTTTATTATTATTTATTTAGTTCAAGAGGAAAAACACAACAGTTTGGGGCAAAGGGAGCTGTATGGAAGCTCCACACCATGTGTGCTCTTCACATCCTCAGGCTTGGCATTTCAGTCTAGGACAAACAGTGGAGCCCACACAGCTTCCCTGACACAACCAGCCACACTGGCACAGCCACCTCCCAAGCCAGAAGGTAAATGGTGCCCCAGCCTTAACTTCCAGGGAAAGCTCCACAACCCCACACAATGTGTTTTTGTGCTGTTCTGCAGTTGTCTGGTTGTCTTTTTTTAAAACCACACCCATGTAAAATCAATATGTATTGTCCATTCTCTTTTAGGACCAGAAAATGCTTAAAGTATAAAAGAAATACACACAGATAAACATATGTAAATCTAGTTCTTCTCAATAAGTGCATATAAAGTGTCATCTGTGCATACATACACAAATATTTAAATTACATTTCTAAAACTGTAGGTATAGAGTGTATAAGATCTTCTTGAATAAGAATAATTTACTACTGAAAGTGTAAATTCAAGTATCAAATGATCATGGGCACCTCCACACATGCTTTTCAATGTTGCTTAAGAATCCTTAAAACATCGGGGGAAGCTGGGTTGATGTAGAAGTTCAAACACAGAAGTTGTAAAAAAGATTGGGGGTGGAGAAGGAGATCAAACAAGTCAAACCATATCTGAGGGTTATAGGCCCCATCCTAGGGGACCCACAAAAGGCCACCCACCATGTATGCAAGGGGGAGAACAGTCCTTTGAGAGGGACAAAGACCTCATCCTGTGGCTCTTCCTACAAAGAATGACTATGCAGTACAATCACTGTACACAAAAAAGGGGAAACTGAAAAAAAAAAAAACAACCAAACAAGCAAACAGTCTTAGAAGAACACAGGTGCATGAATGAGTCAAGAAAAACTGTAGAGGATTAAAAAAAAACCAACAAAGTACAGCTGCATACATGCTTATAAAGCATGGAGGGTTGTGCTACACATGCTTTCATATCAGCTCTTAGACTGATGTCTTCACCCACACACTGTGAAGTCAAAAGCAATGAATAATAGTCATTTCTGATGACAATTGTGTTCCAGGAGCACCATATAGACAAGCCAGTATAACATTCAATCAACTTATTTCTTTCAATTTTCATGAGGCACTGTGCAATAAAATGTAAAAATTTGGTAACCCAAGTACATATACTTTTGAGCAGCTTAAGTTACATGCATATGGTTTTGTGATGGTAAATGGAATATTTCTTAGAATAAAGTCCACCTTTTCCTAGAAGTAAATATTCAATATATGTGAAAAGCATCTGAAAGCTTTGCCAGTCATTGAAGACAATGGAAAAACCACCATGTAATGTACTAGCATATAAACACAAACCAACTCTGTTGGCCTCAGTGCTTTTACTGCAACTGTTCCCATGATCCTCAACTCCAAATTCAGCCTAAAAGCAGATAGTTCTAATATTTTTTTGTAGTACAATAAAATGACACTTTGATCAGCACTAAAACTCAAATGGTGCTATATTCCAAAACACTTTAACCTTAGTCTTACATGTTACCAGGCTAATTGAAAACAAATTTCTTTCTTTGTCTGTCATAAATCAAATTGCTCACCTCATTATCTTCGCTTCTGCTACTTAAAAAGAGATGGCAAGTCTATGGGCTGCTTCTGACCATCTGCTACTAGACTTCATTAAAGGCAAGTGTTTATTAGTTTTGGTCTCCTGCCCAAAATCTCCCTTAAAAAAAAATTACAGAATGCATAGGAGCACTTAGTCTGAGTATATTTTGCAAAGCTAATGTGAATACGCATTTACATTCACAAACAAACCTTTATACAAACAATTTGTATTTGCTCATTACAAAGTTAATTGGTGGAGGAACAGGAAGGTTTATGGAGGTGGAGGAAGAGGAAGACTTGGGATAGGGGATGGAAGAGAAGAGCAGCTGCCTGTACAGGAGCACTTTCCTTCTTCCTCTGTTTTCTGCTGCTCTTCCATGCTTTAAGGAGGATTAGTCTGCTGTTTTGCCTCGATTTTCTCTTAGGTTATATCATTCTTTGTACTGAGCCCTCTTGGCATTGGACAATATGACTGCAGTACTTTTGGAGACCTTCACAGCAACCACCACTGCCTGCTCCATTAAGCAGTGGATCTCACATCCACAAAAAAGGCTAACATTTTCATAGCAAGAATCAGAAGCAAATAAAGTCTTATTAAGCTTCTCCTCCCTCAAGGTTACTATCTCAAGCTAATGACAATATAGGAGATGAGTACTGTCAACCTCTGCAGGACACATTAAATTCCTGTTAAATTTAGATTAGATAAGTACTGCAAAAATCATACAGTTATAAAAGGTACATCCCTTAAACTATCTGGCATCCACTGCAAGGCCAGAGCAACAGCAGGAGCTTCTGTTAAAAGATATACAGCAGCAAGCAAGGTTTAGATGAAGGTCACAATTCTCAGAGTCTCCTTTCAGAGGGAGAAAAAAATCAGGTTGGATGATTTTAAGAGCAAAGTAACAAAAAAAAGTAAAAAACAAAACCCAAACACCTAAACAAACAACAAGATACAGAAAACAGCTGAATAAGAACAGAATAATACAGAGAGAGATGAGAGAAAATATATGAAAAAGTCTTTATATTCAACTGTTATGAACCCTTAATTTTCTGCAAGTATAACAGGGCGTAACCTAGGGTTAGCACAACTGTGATGGATTCTTCAGAGTGTACTGCTGAGTGAGTGGCTGGAGAGTCACTTACCCTGCAAAGACAGCAAGAAAAATATTGGACGAGTAAGCTTCCTGAACACATTTAACACTGGTAAGATAAGTAAACCTCAATACAGGAGTGATGAAGTGTCTGCACTACTATCTGTCTGTAAAAGGAAAACATCCTCTTGGTCAGAACTAGAGATTCAAGTGCTCAGACTAGCAACAGAGGTTTAGAGAAAAACATGCAGCAGAAAAATTTTGTGTACTCACCTTAGATGAAGGTTCCCTTTAGTTCCAGTGCATAAATTACAACTAAGGTGTCCAAAGAAGGCTCTAATATTAGAAAAGTGTTCTGAAAAACATGAGGAAGAAGTGCATGGAAAAACTTACAAGAAAGAAATATCACCAACAACACAAATACAGTTAATTTCTTTCTGTAAGGCCACTGCATTTTTATTACAGAAACTGGAATACCTTCAGAAAATCCAAATATTGTATATAGAGCCATTTTAAGATAATTTTACTTGATACCTCTACTTGGATTTCTATATACACTCTCCTCTTGCATCTTTCTTTTGGGGAAAAGTGAAGCAGAAAGATATTTTGGAGCACTGCTATTTTGTTCTCCTTTCCCCTCACTCCATACCCACTGTGTTCATCATTCAACAATGGTTTCTGTCACCTCCACAAAAGCAGGGGGGCCATTTCGGCCAACTAATATATTACTACTAAATCAATTCATTAACCAAATCATGCTCAAGAGAACAACTCTACGTTATTAACTAACCAGCTTCTATCAAATGATTTTACTAGAATTGCTAAATTCACTCTGCTTTTCTTCTACATGAAAGACTATCAGTGACTAAACAAGGAACATGCCTGCTAGTGAAACTGCTCTCAAGGAGAGAGGAGCATCCTTCTGTAGAGCAACAGCACTACTCATGCTCCACACAGCAACACCTCTGTCTGTTAAAAAAGTGCTCGGAAGAGGCAAGTCCTCACATGCAGTAATTAACCTGCAGCTGGTTACTCATTTGGAGCAGTACAATCACTGGCTTCCACAGAAGCCCTCTGTTTCAGGGCACCTGACTCCCCCAACTAGTTTAAACAAACTAACTAAATCCTCTACTGCTGCTGACGTTTTTGGAAGGTTCTCCTTCCTATCCCACCCATAACTCTATGAAGTCACAGACAGGTTAGACCTACAATATGAACAAGACTATAGATACTATTTCTCTGTTGTAACTTACAACCCCACTACAGAATTTAAGACCTGCACAAGATCTTCAAATAGACACCTCAGTTCAAGATGGAAAAAGAGGGAAAGGAGCTTCTTTACTGTGCTTGTCAGTTGCCCATTTGTCATTTTATTTCAAATCACTGCATGGAGCTGCAGCAGAAGATATGAGGAAAGGATAGACTGGCACTTATCTGTTCTTTGGAGCACATCTGTACATTTAAGTTACAACAAAAAGCTAAGAGCAGGCATCAAAGCCAGGAAATAAACAGCAATAATTCATCATGAAATGGCATATCATATTCCTCTTCTCCCTACTATTTCCTCCCAATTCCACCACAAAGAATTACCCCCACAAAAGAGAGGCTAACAGCACTTCTCACTATTAACATAGTTCAATCCAGCTTATGGCCCTCTATCTCCTTATATTGGGAATAAGAAAAACCAGATCCTTTTGCTAACTAAAAAAGTTCCAGGGCTGTTTATGGATCTGGAGGTGAAACTCAGCATCTTGAACTGCATCCAGGAAAGTCTCAGGCACCACAGCTATCAAAGTGATTTTTCATCAACTTGAGGCTGATTTAAAAGATTTAGTCCAAAGCACAGCATGTGTATTACATTAATCAAATCTGGACACGAGAGGAAGGCACGTGAGCTTAGGCTTTTGTGCAGAAGGAATCCTTTCCTCCTCCTTAGTTCACAGGAAGAAAGGCAGGTTGCAGTGGCCAGTGGAGGGCCAACTAGGACCTTGGAATAGCTAAGTGCAACCATATCGTGTCATCCTTGCTAAAAGAAACCTGGGTGATACATACATCTTAACATGTTTAAGGAGTGAATATTAAAGAAATAAGTTCTTTTTATTTTCAAGAAATAAAATGATACTGGACTGAAAAGACAGTTTTAAGTGGAAACCTTGAGTATTTTGGAAGATTACTCAATTTATGTCACAAAAGAATCAAGTACAACTTTATCTCAGCTAAATTCAGAGTAACAGAGAGTTGATTCAACCACTTGTACAAATAGATCAGTTTGAACATTTGTGCAGCCTGCCATAGCTCAGAGCAATCCCCCGAAGGCCATGGAGACAGTGAGAACTGGTAGAAGTTGTGGTACTTCTATTAAGTCCCATCATAGCTAAAGTATTCCAACTTCAAGTGGAGACAGAATCAAGAAAACCAGTACAGACATGAACCTTGGCTAGTGCCAGGCTTTGCGGATGGCAAGAACCAAGAATTAGGAAGCAAGGAGTTGATATATCTGCTCACAATGTCCTTAAGTGATAAAGCACAAGCTTAATACATCAGAAAAGTCGGTATCTCCTCTTTTAGATGTTTTGGCTGCAGGCTTTACCACCTCATCTAATTTTTTTTGAAGCTTCATATATTCTGTACCTCAGTCACGTCTCACATTAGCTAGTTTCATAGATTAATAACATATTCTATCAATAGCTCTTGGCAATTATAGTAGATTGCATTGCTGCAAGCATAGACTAGTTGTGGAAACTAATGGTTCTTTGTATTGCTTACAGTAATTTAACTAGGAATAAGTTATCCAATTTCTTTGGTGTAATAAAACTGTTCTGGCAAGTTCAACCTGCTTTTATTAACATCAGCTTATAAGAATTAAGTTCTCGGGGTCTCCCCAAAAGTAACCATAATCCAAATGTGAACTAGATTCTTGAATTATGCATTAAACCAGTAAGATAGACAAAGCCTGTCTTTCATTAAGAAAGCCTACATCTTACTGCCACTTCTCTTACATATACCAAACAGTATCTTTTATTACCCATTATGTTAATGTATTTCCCTACATCCCAAGTATTCCCTTAGATTTGTTCTCTTTTGTAAAAAATGTATCAATAGTACATTTTTGTACTTGGTGTTCTTTTCAATCACTTACCACTATTGTATTTTTAGGACAAATGTCCTAAATCTATCAGATGTACTGACATAGAGGTGTCTTCCACGAACTAGTCAGCCAAAGGAAAATTCTGAAGAAAAAAAATTGGGGTATTGAAAGATTTTGATTTTGTAATGATAGACCTGGAGAGATGGATGGCATAACAATTCTCTTCGCAAAAATCTTTCTCCATCATTTACCTTATCTACATACAGTCTTAAAAAACACTTGAAATTCTCCTAATACACTAATTCACACATACGTGTATAACTTATCCTTTACAAAAGCAATATCTGACTCCAATTTTCAATCACCTTTCTCTTCATATAAACTTTTGTTCTGAGGTTTTGTATAAGTCATTCATGCACAGAAAACAAGCAATAGCACATAGAAGAGCTTTTCCGTCACTGTTTTTATAATTACACAGTAGGCTTTCAGAAGCGTTTTGTTATCCTTTCTGATCTAATAAAAGTAATAAAAAAAAATAAAAGGGCTTAGAAGGTTCTTTCAGATAAGAGAGAAAAACTGCAATGAAATTGAGCCTATGTGGTACAATCCTCTTTGCTGACACGGAGTTTTGCTTTCTGAGCTCAGAAAAAAATCTGAAATAGCTTCCCTGCTTGCATTTTCACACATCCTTTACCCAAATCTGACTGAAAGTCCTTTCTCTAATCTTTCAGGCATCTCAAACACTGTTGTTGAGGTTATTCACAGGGGGTTTTTCCTCCCATTTCAATGATTCAGTGACCTCCATCTGCATTTTGGAAATGGATACCATTTGAACCTTATTATTTCCTTTAAAGAAGGACTCAAGTTACCTCAAATGAAAAATTTTCATATATCTGACATAAATTCAATGAGATATAAAGTTTTAAAATGCCAGAAGAAATTAAGTGCAGCACAAATTTGGGATGGCATTATGGGATAACATAAATCATATGGTCTCATATCAGGTCACCATTTTATTGGTAACAATTTCACGCTCTTGACTTGGAAGTCCTAAAAAAGTGTAGCATGTCTAACTTTCCACAATATGTCTGAACTCTAGAGTGAAGAAGGTAGGGTTTCAGAAAGCATTTCCACTCTAACACCGTCAGTGAGATACTTCATAATACTAAACCAGCCTCAAGTTTCTTTACAAAACAGTTGTTAGAACTTTTGTTTAAATAATAAGCCCACTTTTCTTGAGAAAATACCGTCTCCAAAATACTCTGGCATACTGCTGCTCATACCCTTACATAATTTCAAAGTACAAGCACATGGAGAAGAGTAGTTTGTAGTACAGGTTGATGTATTGTGGCTCCAGGTTACGGGCATACTTTGCAGCACATCCTACATAACTCTCCTGTAGCACAGACTGTGTATATTACTTGTTAAACTGGCTCCTCTCATATTTCTTGGGCGAGCTGGAGCACCTCCAACAACCCTAGCCAGAAGTGGTAATCTCAGAAAGTGAGACCAGCCACCAGCCGTCCAAACGCTTTTCTTGGTTCTCATAAAGCATGCAAGGCTCAGGTACACAGTCTATGCTTTGCACGTCAGAGCAGAAGTAAACCCAGTGTTGTTCTAAAACACCTTTCTGCATCCCCACGATGTTGCCTGAAGCCTGGACCAACACTGCCAAAGCCACCAACTAAACCAACTTAACTGCTGTTGCAACTTATCCATCAGTTTTAGGTCCCTAGGAATGTCCCTCACATGGGGACACAGCCTGCATGGTGCTGCACTGCTTCACAATGACTACCACAGCATTCCTGCTGGAGTGCTTCTTCAGAACAGAAAGTTCTTGGATACATGACTATAAAGGTTACAGCTTCAAGGAGAAGTTGAAGACTCCCTTCTCCTTACCACATACTGCAATGCTAAAGACAGCAGAGTCAATTGATTAGATAGGTAAAGTGGAAGTGGAGCGTTTCCTCGAATTAAAATGTCATCCATCCACACTCTTCAAACACTATTTTCCAAGGAATCATTCTAAAGAAACACCGGCAGTTTTTCCTTATTGAAGTCCTTGAAGATAGCAGAAAGAGCAATATTTTGTAGTCCATAGGGAGCTTAAACACCAGTCTGCTTTCTGTATATACAGTCTCACAGATTGAACTGCCAAATAGATGAAAGTAAATTCCTGATAAGGCTCTGCTCCTTACTCCCTCTTGGACTTTCTGAACTGCCCAGCTGAGCACCTTGTAGAAAGACTCAGAATAGAAATTTTTACTTTAAAGGCTGACTTTGCTGGAAGCCAAAGTCACAGATTCCAGTCTCATATTGTTTAATTTATTCTTAATATTCTCTCTAAATGGCATCTGAAGAGTAATTTCAAAGACATAATTTAAACTTTCACTTACTAAACAAATATGGAAGAAAGCATTAAATGTTAATTTTCCTGTTTTCAATTGCACGTTCTGCAAAGAAACACCAGACCAGAATGTAGCACCCATATTATTTGTTGTGTTATTGGCGAGGGTATTTGAAGCAGTTATCACACTGAGCAGCTGACAGCAGGAGACTTGAATCTCGTGTGAACAGCCTTCAAGTGTTCACAAGTAAAGTGCTTTCACTGGACAGCTATTGTTTAAGAAAGTTTAAAAACAAAAATAAAAACCTGTGTAATTTTAAGGTCTGGTAATATTTCATCTGCCATGCAGTTGGATTAATGCAGGCTGCTCACTTTATTTGCCATTACCCATAACCCAACATGTACTTCTTGGATCAAGCTACTTCTGTTGGGCTTAATGCTGCCAAAATAATTTACAGCTACAGAAATAAAAAGTGTAAATGTGCTTTTGACAGAGGAAGACAACACTAAGCTTGCTGTGACAGAAACTAAAGATGTTGAACGTGTCTTAACATATTAAAAATTATTCTGAACTGTATATGGTTCTATAGTGATGCTCACTTATTATTA